TGATATAGTTAATTTTTACTCTGTATCTCAGTCTTTAAAATGGGCTTCCAGTTTTACCTAAAGGGCTTCCCTTTAAGTTCCTGGGGTCTTGTCACTGTTGAGAGCTTAGTTTTCTTGCTTGTTTCTGGTAGCTCTAGATAGAAGAATGTATCCACCTCTTTTCCAAAAGTCTACAAGCCAATCCTATTTTTGGTTAAGAGACTACCCAGTCAAGCAGTTGTTCTTCGGGAGGTCTCTGTGTTTAGCGGTTAGGCTATATCTGAAAACGCCAGGGAATCTGTTTCTACCTGCCACTGCTGCTGGGGGCAGTAGGGAGCCCTGACCTCTACCTCTCGACTCCAGTCACAACTGGCAGTGGGTAGAGGATTCCTTTAAATAGCGCAGCCTAGAAGGAAGGGCATGTCCACATTCCACATTGTTCTTTCCTCTGGCTTCTGTAATTTACTGGGCTTTCCTTCCAAAACAAAATTATTAAACAGTAAAGGGGAGTTCAAGGGAGGCCTGAGCTGTTAAGGAAAGAGGTAAAATGATGACTGGGCCAATGAGCCAACCAGCCCTTAAATGAGCTGCCTCAGATACCCCATCTCACCCCTTACCTCCAGCCTTGTCATCTGGGTCCTAGGAGCAGTCTCACCCTTTCCACTGCTGCTGTAATGAGCAGGGGCCTCAGCCACAGAAACCTGCAGTGCTGAAAGCTGAAGAGACCCCATTTCAAGCCACTAAAATGAACAAAATCACTCATCACGATTTCAGGCCTATCCAAGCATTTTGCAAATGTCACTTGTGGCATTGTTGATATCACAGGGTATGTTTTTGTTTTTCTTCATTTTATTTTGCTGGTTTAGCCTCAAGCCCAAGGCAGAAGACCTATCTGCATTTGAGCCCTCAAAGTAGGTTGTTCCCAGGTACTCTCTATGTGGTGATGGTACTGCCCTTTGTGATACTAACCCGTGCATGAGCTTGCCTGTCTCTGTCCTCGGGCCACGCTGAGCCCTCTCGAGGGCAGGTGGTGCCTGGGTACTGGCCGCAGCATGCTTTGACTCTAAGGCAGGCGCCCGCCCTGTGGAGCCAGACCAGCCTCCAGGGCCCCAGAAGACTGCCTCGTTCTGAAGAGCATGTCATGGCCGTAGGACCAGCCATTCTTTCCATCTTGTGTCATTCTTGGGCTGGGGAAGGTTATGGCTTCTTGTCCAGTCAGGTGTGTCTAAAAGTCCTTTGTCTTAGTGGCGTACTCCTTAGATAAATAACCCTAGCATGGAAATGGGGTCAATCTGGGCACTTTTGAGACTGGTGTCTTTAACTCGAGATCAAGACCTTTCATGCGGTGACAACCTCTCAGGACCCATGGTCACACCTGGCAGCTTCCGGTCGTGGGTGAAGGGGTTGCCTGTGCTGACTTACTTTCCTTTAGAGCTTCCCCTTTCTATACACATCCCTTTTCTTTTCAAATAAAGCAAACCCAGAGCACAGGGTTCTGATGTTTGAGTCCATGGGGAGTGGCCTGTCTGTTCATCTGTGCTCAGCCGCCTCTGCTTCAGCTTCCTCTCCACAGGCTGAGCGGTGATGTGGTCAGAGTGAACTCACATTGGAACAGTGCAGTCACGGCCCCCCTGAGAGGAGCGGTCACTGGTTGCTGAGTGAATTAACTGAATGTTTGCTGCTTTTCTTCTGCAACAGTTCATTATTCTTTCAGCATGCCTAGGCAGTGGAGAGAATTAATTTTGCCCAATAAAAAAATGACATCCTG